GGGCTCTACAGGTCGTCAACGTATCATAAGCTGGATGATACTGAACCGAAATTTGGAGCTCACAAATCAAGGCTGCAGCGTCCAGCCTATCGCTTGGAGCGATAGGCGGGACGCTCCAAAACCCAAAAACGTCACTCATACAGCGATATCTCTAACGGATGACCTATTTGTTTTAAAAAGACGTGCGAAACTGAACACAACCGACGAGGCCGACGAGACATGCGACGTCACGATTCCCATCCTCTCTCCTCTTCGCTTCGTTCCCTCGAGCAGGTGAACCGAAGCTAGGAGGAGAGAAGCGAGGCCGCTTTACCTGACTCTCAACTGCTCGAAGAGAATCGTGACGTCACATTCCTCGCTTGAACGCGCCTTTCTTTTACAAAAATACGGCTATCGGTTTGAGATATCGATGTATGAGTTTTGCTTTGTAGTTCGTAGCGTCGCGTTCAATGCGTATGCGGCCTTATTTTGCGAAATCCAAATTTCGGTTCAGCGTTCCTTTAAAGTAGCCCATTACAAGTCTTCCTAAAAACTGGATTATTTTCGTTCTAGCAACATATAAAAAAACGCATCGGTGTAACACGGGACATCACGAAGCAATTTAATACCAATGAGCAGAACTCGGCCAAGTCGAGCACTCGGCGTACTACGCCTTCTTCTTTGTCACTTTTTGCCTTTCTTTCCCTTCTTTCCTTTCTTGCCCTTCTTCCCTTTCTTGCCCTTCTTTCCTTTCTTTCCCTTCTTTTTCTTTTTTCCGCCTCCTTTGCTGGACGAGCTGGAGGCCTCCGCAGGAGGCGGAGGCGGCGGCTCAGGAACCGGCGGTGGCGGCGGCGGAGGAGGAGGTGGAGGCGGGACCGCAGGAGGTTTAGGGATTTCAACCACGATCTTGGTCTCTTCCCTCGGTGCTATCCGCTTGGGAAGCGATTCCGACGAAGAACTGGCGCTGCTGGACGTGCTGCACGTGCACTCGGGAGAATCGATGGTGACCCTCAGCATCCCTGGGTACATGGGGCTCGCCATGAAGCCTCCTTGAGGGCCTCCAGCCGTCTGCATCAGTGGCATCATTTGTGGTTGAGGCATCATAACCATCGGCTGAGATACGCTTGGCGACTTTGGAGGCGTGTAGGATGACATGGAGGTGCTGATCGAAGACTGCGGGCTGTAGCGATTGCGTGGCGTCATCAGCTTGTAGGTTTCCTGCTTGAAGCTCTCTTTCTTGATGCGGCGAATGTCTTGTGCGGCACTGTTTTCGGCACTCATCAGCCGGCGCAATTTTTCTTCCGTCTGAGTTAGAGCGTTGAGAAACTCGGGATCTCTGACCCTTCCCGACGCCCTGTAGTTGGCGATTTCGTTGGCAAGCTTGTTTTCCAACGACATCAGATTCCACAATTTACTTTCCGCGGAATAAACTCGATTGAGTGGTGGCGCGGGCCTCTGCCTGCGGAGACGCTGGGTTGCGCGGTTCACGTTCTCAGATTCTCGCATCACCTGAGAGGTAAGGTCTCGGATACGGGTTGTCACGTTAACGGTCGTCGACGGCTGTGGCGAAGTCGTGGCTTGGTGGAAATGTTGGATCGCGGCGGCATCCGGCTGTACCTGATACTGTTGGACCGTAGAACTACCTTGTAGAGGAATTTCGGCCAAGTTGGTAATGCTGTTGCCCCGACGCACAATAATATTGCCCGGACTCCCAGGCGTGCTTTCATTGAGAATGATGGTCGTCTGGGCGATTACATCAGCATTACCGAAACCGTCATCGTCATCCATGGTGGAGCCACAGCCGATGGCCCTCAGGGACACATCTCTTCGAGGAGGAGGAGGCGGAAAGCGAATGTCGTACTCGTTCTCGAGAGACACGATGGCACGTTGTGCGTCAGGACCATATATGACTGAAGGAAGTTCTATCACTGGGGGTGGCTGATGCACCTTTACGTTGCCAGTAGCCTCGGTTAGTGTTTCCGATAGTTGAGGCAGCTGCTGCATCGATGTCGGTCGGAAAATAGGTATGAATGGAACCAAGGTTGGATCAGATGGTTTTATAGTCTCTTGTTCCGACTTTGCTTCGAAGTGGACGACGCAGGTGTCATCGGTCTGAGTGGGGCAGCTAAATATTGGCGCAACGTCTCTTCTGGGTGGTACTCGACTTGCAAAGGGCAACACGGGCAATGGAATAGAAAAGGACCTACGAGTATTGGCGATCGGGAACGTCTCCTTGGTCTTTGTGATGACGATACCTTCAGGAGTGACTTGACGGTGTACGGAGGCGCCCGTTGGCTTCCCTTTGTTTTCAAACCTTGTATTTTTTGGTGGATTGAATATAACTTTAGGCTCTATGCTTACTGGAATTTTTTCGGGTTTCCCCGAAGGCCCCGCTGGAAAGAACTCCACGGAAACTTTAGGATCTTGATTGGACATCGGGGCCTAACATATCAAAATTTTATGAGGCCAAATCCAAAGGATCGCTGGGACCCGTGCTCGACGCCATGCTCGTGGCCATGGCGAACCGCACGTGTCCGCCATGATCATGCACGAGTACACGTCTTCTACTTCAATAAGATAAACTTGTTATATCTGTTTACGATTCGCACCGAGACATCTTCTAATAAAGCACCGAATTCAAATGTTGCATGTGTTCTCAAACGAGCTCATATATTTTTCACTATAGTTCAATCGACAATGGGGCTTGCATCCTCGCGGACGCTGTTGTTTTGGTGACGCTAGTGGTTTGGGTAAAGGCCGGTTCACAGCGCCGTTCCGTTACGTTGCGTTATATTACGAGAGCTTACGTCGACTTAAGGCCGGCTCATACGGCACCGTTTGGTTACGTTGCGTCATGTTACAGAAGCTTCCGTCTGCTTACATCGAGTGTCATCAGGACATCTCTGCTTCATATAAAAAAAAAACATAAAGACGATTTTAAACTTTTTTTTTTTTTTAGAAAAGGGTGTTTTCTGACTTTCTAAGGAAGTGGCAATATTCTCAATCTTTTTATGCATTTCTATTGGGTTTTTTATTTTTATATCGTATTAAATAATTTAACGAAACCGAAACTGACGTTAGGCTTTCCCGTCACACAACCTCTCTTAAAACGGATGTGACGTCAACAGTGAACCGTCGGTTTCGGTAGAATTTAGGGATCGTGAGCATAGCTGGTGAGCTGTAGCGGTGCTTTGTGGTTTGAGAACCTTGTACCGCGCGTTGCGACTGCGATTCCACACGTGCTAGATCACAGTCCAGTCAGAGCTCGCTTGCAATTGCGGCCAGTCAGAAATTGCGCGTGCATAGCACACAAACACAGCAATTAACGCGCCCTCATACGCTTTTATGGAAAGGTCCTCATGATGATGATGATGATTCTGCGGCTTTTCCCTTTGCAGCGGGCAAACTCGAAAAACATTTCGTGCCCTAATCATAAATAAAACGGTGAAAAATAAAAAATAAAAAAAACATCAGACAACTATTTCGTCTTCTGCCACCAGTGCTCCGATCTCGCTTCGTCTTCTGGACGCACCGAGATCGCAAACCTCCATCCCCCATCGCAGTGTTTGCTGTGGCTACCTTGATCGTATTGGGGTTCCGACTGGCTCTGTCTACTTCATCGGTGTCGCCATTGTTGGCACTTGGAGTCAAAGTGAACCCCAGAGCGTCCGCTAGGGTCTTTTCGGGGTGAGGCTGACTAGAGTTCCTGTATATGCTCCCTTAAGGGGTATTCACACGAGGGAGAAATCCCGGGGATTTCTCCCCGGCACGCGAGAATCACGAGATGAAAACGCGAGGCTTTTGCACATTGCAAAGCCTATCGTTTTCGTCGTGGAATGCGCGTGCCGGGGAGAAATCCCCGGGATTTCTCCCTCGTGTGAATACCCCTTAAGGGAGCCAGAGTTGTGCGTTCATCCCTGTAGCGCCGTCTTTCCTGCACGGCACGTTGACCCAGCTCCTCACGTGACTGAATTCGGCGAATAGCGGCGCCGCGCGTTCGAGGCGCGCGGCGCGCTCAAAAGCAGCGGAACTGTGGGTGACCGGACGGGGCGGCCGAGAAAGGTGGAGGGCTGTGGCCGAGCTTCAAAGGACGCTCGACAACGTCATCTATCATCTCAGGCAGCTCGGACTCACTGTGTCGACCGAAAAAACTCTGGCCCTCATCTAGGCCCCCGCGCCCGGCCTCATTCCGACCGACACTGCACATCGAGGGGCAGCCGATCATCCACGAGCAGAAGGTCACATACCTGGGCCTTGTCCTGGACAGGAGGCTGACGTGAGGGGCGGTGGTGGCGAGCGTAGTCCAAAGAATGCGGCGCCGCATGAACACCCTGCGGTCGCTCGCCGGCAGCACTTGGGGGGCATCCCAGAACATGATGCTCCAGCTACATCAGAGACTGGTGCTGTCGGTGGCGCCCTACGCGCTGCCGCTGCTCAGCCTCAACACCTCACAGGCAGCAAACCTCGAGACAGTCCACCGGATCGCACTTAGGATCTGCCTCGGCATATCCAGGTCGGCGGCGTCCATCCCGACGTACGCGGAGGCTGGAGCCAACACCGTCAGCAACCATCTCCAAAAGCGCTCACTTGGGCACCTCATCCGCATTTCCACGTGCGAGTCCGCGGCAGCGCTGCTGGCACGCATCGCGGAGAGGCCCGAGTCGCGCTTGGGGCAGCTTCTGTGCGTTCTGGGGTCGTCGCAGGCCCTGCACCGGCGATCACTCCCCTCCCACCATTGCACTCCGACCCCCATCCACTGACTGTCCACCTCCGAGTCGACGAGATGGGCACTCGACGGAGGACGGCCGACGTTGCGGCCAAACAGCTGGCGGAGAACCACATCGAGCGGCACTACCCAGGCTGGGCAAGGGTGTACACCGACGGCTCCGTGCGGCCCGGCGACGGCTTGTCGACGGCGGCTGTCTTCGTGGAGAGGGCAGACCTGGGCGCGGGCGAACGGCTCGCCTTCCACGCCACCAGCACCACCACGGAGCTCGCGGCGATCCTCCTAGCGCTGCGCCTGGTCCGCTACAAGAGATGGCTGGTGCTCTCCGACTCCCAGGCGGCCCTGTCTCAGCTGTACGGGCTCGAGGGGGCATGCCCCCTCGCACGGGAGATCGCCGGTGAGGCTCTGCTTCTCGGCGGCCTCGGCCACCGCTTGGCGTTCCAGTGGGTCCCGAGCCACTGCATTCCTGGCAACGAGCGCGCGGACGCCCAGGCGGAGCGGGTTCATGACGCCGCCGAGTTCCGGACGTCGGACGTGGGCCCCTTCGCCGACGCCAGGCTTCTTATCGCACGGGAGGCCGCCGCAAATCACCCGGACGAGCGGTACGCGGTCGGGGACCGACCGGTGAAGCCCCCTCGGGGCACGGGCCGCCCAGCCGCTGCAGTCGTCCACAGGATCCGGACGGGGTGCACCCTGACGCCGGCACGGATGCATCTCCTGCGCAACGAGGCCGACCCGGAATGCCTGGCCACCTCCTCCTGGCCTGCCCGGCACACGCTGACGCCCGGGCGGCCAGGACAACATCCCTCGCCGCACTGGGGCTGCCCTGCAACACCACAGAACAAATACTGAGACCCAGGGGCGACCGGCGCGGCAACGACCGCGTGCTCAGGGCCCTACTGACCTTTCTGAAAGAAACCGGGCTCCTGTGGTCCCTCTGAATTTCCTCCGGGCGCCCGCCGATCGCGGCGGGGCCCCGGCGGCCGTGCTCTGTCGTGCCCTGGGCGCTCGCTTTGGCGCGCACCTGCCGCGTGCTCGACGATCGCGCCCGGACTCCGGCGCGGATGGACTAGAGTGGGACCTCCCACCACACGACGTGGTCACCCCCGGACGATTGCTTGATCGCCGGACAACGCGCCGTGCCAGCCTCCTGCGCTGGACCCCCAGCTCCCCCCGCCCCCCCATCTCCCGGCCACCCGGTATTCGATACAACTAAATTAATCCCACTCGCGCTTCCTCCGACATGCCCCCCCTCCCCTTCTATAAAGCTATTTCTATCTCCCCCCCTCCACCCCCAACCTTTCTCCCCACACCCCCCCTTCCCCCGAGAGCCCGGTGCGCAACCACTATTGGCCCTCTCCTACCCCCCCCCCCTCCCCCCCCCCCCCCCCCCCCCCCCACACACACACACACACACATCATCTTTCACAACGCTTAGAAGAAGAAAAGCAGGGAAACGTACGCCGGGGCGCGCGCGACGTCTTCTTTCCTGCACGACACTTGATCCGGCTCTTCACGTGATCCGATCTCGGCGAATAGCGGCGCGGCGGCAGGTGGAAAAGGGACGCGCAACTCTGGCTCCCGTAGGAACTGTAATGGCGAATTCCACTAACGTTTTGGAGCGCGCCGGGATCAGTTGACCAGATCCGGTCTGGAGCACACGATCCGAAAGGGGTCGCGCCGCCTACGGATCCCACGTGGAACATGACCACTGCTCCGGGATCGGCGGATGCCTTCCCGTCATTCAACTGCCCGGGAATCCCCTTTCTGCGGCCGCCGCGGTCGTTTCGAAGACGTTTTCGCAATTGTGGCGCTAACACGTGTTCGACGCACGAGCTACAGGAATGGCTCAGGCGCTTCTAGCAACGATTGCCGGAATGCCCGTAGCGCGGCAAATACCTTCTCTTCTCCTTCCTGGAAAACGAACCGGTTGTCGAGCCAAGGGGTAAGCAAGCGGCCATTACGAATTCTTCTGATGTCGAGACAATCTAGGAGCCCAGCCCGCAATGTGCTTCTTCTTCTTCTGAGGCGAGATGGGCGAGATCAGGGAAGTCACGTGTGTGCGCCCAGGGCTGGCCCGGCTGGCTTCCGGTTGAATCCGCCGAAATCGTGGGAGCGACTTTTCTCGGATCCAGATCAAGATCTGGAGCGGGAGTTAATCCAAAACGACCTGTGAAACACATCGGTCTCGATCCCGATCGCCCAGTGAAGTAGGCTCGCTCCAGAAAAGTCGATCCCGGCGCGCTCCGAAACGCCCTGTGGAATTCGCCATAAGGCT